CCCCCCCCCCCCCAATTCACATGTTGAAGCTCTCACCCCCCAGTGCGCCTCTGTGGAGATGAGACCTCTAAGGAAGGCGATTAAGATTAAATGAGGTCATAAGGGTGGGACCCTGACCTGATAAGGTTAGTGCTCTTATAAGAAGAGACACCAGAGAGTTAGTTCTTTCTCTCTCTTCACCTGCATGCACTGAGGAAAGGGCATGTGAGGAAAAAGCAAGAAGCTGGCTGTCTGCAAGCCTAGAAAGAGCACTTACCAGGAAATGAATTGTCTGGAACCTTGACCTTGGGCTTCTAGCCTCCAGAACTATAAGAAAATATTTTTTTTAATATTTGAGCCACCTAGTCTATGATATTTTGTTATGGCAGCTGGTGCAGACTAAGAGACGTGCCCTGGAACAACGTCAGTGATGAAAATGAGCAGATAAACTATAGGACAGGAAAACCAAAAAGTTATGATCTTCTCACTACACTCACATTACTGCCTGCTACCTCCTGGTCTGCTCACAAACAGGGCAGAGAACGTGTTGGTTCCTCAGCACTTCCATGTTTCCTGCACAGCACTGGTGTGGTTGTCAAAACTGAAGAATGTGAAGGTCACCTAGGCTTCAGGAAGCTAAAGTCTGAGATTTGCTCTGTTCTAAATAGCCCAAAACTAGAGCCACACACACGGCAGAATTCAATTCCAAAGTCAAAAAGTTTTCCTTGAAAATAGATTTAATTTTATTCAAATTAGAAATATTCTGTGTCTACCTGCAAAATCACCTCCAAACACAGTTATCCTCTTGACAAGTGAAAAAATTTTCTGGGGAAAATTTTTAAAAGATGGTAAAAGAAAACTTCACATTTTCTATCAAAAAGTACTTAATCCAAAAGTTTCAACATGTGACCTGTCCACAAGGTATCCAGATCATTCACTCCTCAGAAAAGGGGGGGGGGGCAGGGAATCGCATCCCCATTGTGATTTGAAGTGCGCAGAAGTTCAGATCTGCCCATGTCAGTTAACACTGGTGTAATAGGCACAGCAGAGGTTTCACTGAGCTGAGGGGAACAGAGAAACACAGAGGGCAGGAAATTCCTTCCCAGAAGACTTGTGTTCAGCTGAACATTAACAGGCTAAGAGTAAAAAAAAAAAAAAATCAACAATCTGTGATCAGTAAATTTAAAGAGGAGCTCAGTTCTTTCTGGCGCTATGGACATTCCCACCACGCTAGTGTCCAAATTCTAGAAAAAGATAAAAAGATTAACAAAAATAGAGACTGTAGGGCTGGCTGACTTTGTGCCTAGAGGAGTGGCACCGGAAAGCCAGCGCTCATGTGCTCGTCTGCAAGGCAGCGCCCTGCCTGGAGAGGGGACACGCTTCTGCGCCAGGGGCTCGGCGGGCTGGTGGCGCTCCACGTGCTCCCTGGGCAGCTCCCCACACATGTCCCCTAAGAATCGAGGGCCTACTTGGCCATCTTGCGGATCATGTAGTTGAGGATGCCCCCGTTGCGGAAATAAGTGAGCTCCACGTCGGTGTCAAACCTCATGACAGCCTGGAAGGTCTTCCCGGTGTCCAGCTGTGAGGACAGAGGAGCAAATCAGAGTCACTGCGGGAGAAGGTGAGGCAGCTCCCGGAGGAGCCAGAGCCCACCCGGGGTGTGGGTGCGGTGCAGGTGCGGTCCTCACGCCTGCACCACCAACAGCACCCGGGAACATGCACAGTCTCTGGGCCCAGGCCAGACCCGCTGAGCCAGAAGCTGCATTTTAACAAGACCCTCAGCAGGCTCCTCCGTGTGGAAGGGAGAGGCATCCGAGAATGAGAACGGCCCCTCCGGGCAGCAGTGACTGGTGACCTGTGGGATGGCATTTTCTAAAGCCTCTCTCAGTGCTCTCTGCAGGTGGAAGTGTCTCAGGCCAGCAGACGTTTGGTTAGGGTTGTCCCTCAGGCAGCTGGCCCAGCCGCTCAGCCTGGGACACAGACCTCAGCAGCTGCCTGCGCCTGGGAGGCTAACCCCCCCGGGGGCCTTGGTGCTGGGCACTTTGTCCATTCCTTGCAGAGGGAGCTGGCATTTTGGTGTAGGAATCAGAGACGGGGAGTGTCTGCTGTTCACCTTATTATAACAAGAAGGTGTGTTTTTAGGTAATGTCCTAACCCTGAGCTTTCATCACTGTTCTCTGGGCTGAGATTGGGAGGAGTGGGAGAGAGCTTGGAGGTAAGAATGGAACCTATGATAACACTTATGAGTGAACAGCACTAAAGAGTTTGTTGTGAGGCAGGTAGGAAAGGTGCTAGTAAGACTCTTGAGTCTAACGCAGTCCTACTCTTTTGTTTCCTTCTTCCAAGTCCCACGGATCAGCTTCTAACAAGATTGACTACAAACACAGGTAGCTGGTCCTGGTGTGGAGAGGCCCCGGCTTACCTTGACCTGGACTTTCATTTGTGGTTTGAGGTTTTCTGGGATGCTGATGGTGTAGCGTTCCCGCCCCGTGAGTCCCAGGGTGTCTGCAGTCTCCCCGGGGAGGTATTCAAGGGGGATCACCCCCATTCCGACCAAGTTACTGCGGTGAATGCGCTCGTAACTCTCAGCAAGAACAGCTTTGATTCCCTGATGGGCCGAGAGAGAAGTGTGGACACAGTTCCAAGTTTTCTTTAGACACACAGAAACTTAACAAAAGGATTCTTAAGTCAAAACTCTTCTCACACCTAAATTCTTTATAAGTACTAATTAGTCATTTACACAAAATGTTACCCCCTAGCTATAAACGATGCAGCGGTCGGTCTTCAATGATTGCCGACATGGTACAGGCATGGTACGTGCTTCCATGATTTGACTCATCCCGCCTCCTCCAACCCTGGAGGCAGATGCTNAGTCTTCAGTGATTGCCGACATGGCACAGGCATGGTACGTGCTTCCATGATTTGACTCATCCCGCCTCCGCCAACCCTGGAGGCAGATGCTATTACCAGGTGGTCAGGGGAGTGTCTGGTATCCTGAGCCATGCAGCCTGACCACACACACCGCCACTCTGTGACGCAACACCTCCTAGGAACTTCCACCATACTGAAATCCACATCGCAAAACAACATGAAGAAAACTCACTTCTTACCCTTCAATTCTGCTATAATTGTAGGTGTNTATCCTGAACCATGCAGCCTGACCACACACACCGCCACTCTGTGACGCAACACCTCCTAGGAACTTCCACCATACTGAAATCCACATCGCAAAACAACATGAAGAAAACTCACTTCTTACCCTTCAATTCTGCTATAATTGTAGGTGTACTGGCAGACACGGAAGATTTAATCAAAAAGCAACTTACAGAGCATACTACAAAGAAAGTCAAGGATTACCTACTGTGCGCTGCTTTTATACCTCCTGTTTCAAGGATCAAATCATCTTGACATTATGCAATCTATAAAGTACATTTTATGGGTAATCTATAACTGACAATATACAACAATATCAATAAACTAGGATACCTGATTAACTAAAACACCCCATTCTTAAGTAGAATATTTAGGTACCCCTACAGGGTCTCTTGATATTTGGGTACAGTTTTAAGACCTCCCTGCATAAGGATTAGTCAGGGAGCTTGTGAAAAATGTAGAATCTCAGAGCCCTGGCTGGGTAGCTCAGTTGGTTAGAGTGTCGTTCAATATGCCAAGACTGTGGGTTCGATCCCTAGTCAGGGCACATACAAGAAGCAACCAATGAATGCATAAATAGGTAGAACGACAAACTGATGTTTCTCTCTCTGTCCCCCTTTCTCTCTATGATCAATAAAAACAAATAAACCTTTTAAAAAAAATGTAGAATCTTGTGCACTACCCCAGATCTACTGCATCAGAATCTCACACAGGCAGTGAGGAGCAGGAGAAAGATAGTCATTCTTTTTTTAAAAAAATTTTTTAAATATGTTTTTATTGATTTTTAGAGAGAGAGAGAGGAAGGGAGAGGGAGAGAGAAAAACATGGATGAAAGAAACATCAATAGGCTGCCTCCTGAATGCCCACTACTGGGGATCAAGGCTGCAAACCGGGGATGTGCCCTGACAGGGAATCGAACCAGCGATCTCTTAGTGCATGGGTGGATGCTCAACCCACTAAGAAACACTGGCCAGGGCCTGAAGATAGTGATTCTTGTAAGTCATGGGAAGCAAGGCTATTGAGAAGTGGTTCTTAAACTTTGCTGCATATTAGAATCTCCAAGGGAGGCTTTTAAAATCCTGACATGCAAGCCTTTTTCCTTACCTGTTAAACCATAATCTCTCGGGATGAGATCCAGGCACAGGTATTTAAAAAAAACCCACAGGTGTTTCCAAATTTAGAAACAAATTTATGGAGGAAGGGCAGATTCTTCAGGATACTAGATATTTTGTATAGATTTTTGGATATCTGTATTATGTATTAATTTGGGGGGAAAGTTGAAATATTTGTAAACGCATACTATTCACATCCCTAGCTCTGCATAAATGGCTATGCAGGTTTGTAGATGGCACAGATCACAACGGTCTAACCCTCTCTGCGTGAGTTCAGCCCAGGACCCCTGAGTGGCCCAGGCTGGGCAGCCACAGGATGACGTGTATGATTCCGGTAGCCAGGACTCGGAGCCGCTCTGTAGAGAAGTCTAGACTCCGGAGCGCCCCCTGGGTGCCAGCTCTCCTTCCCTTCCCACAGATCTTACAGTTTTCCCACCCGACTGCCACTGTCAGCACCCAGCTCCCTTCCTAAAATCCCTTCCTTCTCTTTGGTTCTTTTCAGCAGGCCCCTGACATATTACCAAGTAATCAGAGAACTTTATTTTCTCTACAGAGCAAAATGATTAAAAAAACAAAATAATAGGTGATGTTTACAGATTTTCAGAGGCCTGGACGTCTGGGGCTGCCTGCCAGACAGCCACATTTTTTACTGTACTTGTGGATGTCACTTATTTAGTGTTCCCTGAGCGCACTAAATGGCTCGAGCACATTTATTTAAATTGACATTGGCAAGCCACTGTATCCTGCCCTGAGGACTGAAGCCGGGCAGCGGGACTCTTCTCTGCTTTCAGGGCGAGCACATGCTCAAGGGGTGAGCGCGCTGTGATGCCTGCGCAGCCCTGCCCCGGGGAGCGTCCAGCAGGTCAAGCCCTGAAAGCGCTGAAGGGTCTAAAGGGCACCCTGCCCACGTTCAGCGAGAGCGTCCTTCCCTCTGAGTCTACAGGTGGGTTTCACAGGCCGTGAAGCAATCGGAGAAAGTCCTTTCCCTGCGTTTACCCACAGCTCAGGCTCCTTACTGTTTCCCTTCCATGAGCCTGGCGGACGGGTCAGGGGCAGCAGCCCTGGCTTACTCCTCAGGTTCACCTGAGACAATGGCCTTAAATAAATTTGGGGTCCTCAACCTCTGGGAACATTATGAAAACCATGGAATTTTTCCCTGTAAAAATAACATACGTACAAGCTTTTGGATATAATTTCAGAGACTGCACAGAGCCCCCTCCAGCTGTTCTGCTGACACCCACAGAGACCCATGGTCCCCAGGAAATGTCCGACCTGAGGGAACCAGTTCAACTCTCAATTACCCTGCAGAGAGAAGCGAAGCCGGGTCACGAAGCAGGAGGGGAGCGAACATGCATGCTCTTCTGAGCCGCTCTCCCACGACATCTTGGGAAGCACAGCACGGGAGTTGATTCCTGGCCCCTTCCCGGCTTCCCTGCTGGTCCGGAGGGCAGCTGCCTGCTGGGACGACCCCACGTCATACTCACCAGGAGGAAGGGGCCCTTCGCTGCCCAGTCCCGGGAGCTGCCCGAGCCGTACTCTTTCCCGGCCAGAATGATCAGGGGAAGGCCCGCCTGCTGGTACCGCTCGGCGGCGTCGAACACATCAAGCTGAGGAAGGAAAAGGAAGGTGTCACCGACGCAGCGAAGGCACTGAGCGCGGGTCCTGGTGGGCCGCGCAGGGTCAGGGGTCTGCAGTGAGCCAGGCAACGCAAAGCCAACGGAAAACTCAGCCAATCGCACGCCTGCTCTAGAGTCCCAGTGAGCTCCACATACCTACACCGACCAAATGGTATTTTATATTTGTGTAGCTGAAATGGCTAATTGTGAAGATTTTTAGCAAAAACATTCAAATCCTAAGGCACCAAGGGAAAAAGGAAAGGAGATTAGATTGTGTTTTCTCTTCTGTTGCCTAACCTATTTTTAAGCTTTTAAAAAACAGAATCCCACCTAAACCTGGGTTTCAACTCAGTATCAGAGACTCCGGGATGGTCAATTGTGAAGGCAGCAAACCACAAGAAGGTAACGTCTTGAAATGGTATAAAATGCAAACTTTTGTTAGTCACCCTTCTGCATGGATGTCAAGGCAGAGAGAGTAGAAACACTGATGGAAACGCCCGTCACTAGAGGACAGGAGATTAACTAATATTTTAGTACATGTGAGAAGCATCTCACACAAACATTTGTTTGTCACAAGAACTCTGAATATGGTGCTGAGCTGAGACTTCACAGACGCATCTGATATCACAGCTGGTGGTGGAGCAATGAAAGAGTTGTTCTCCATGGCTACTAAGTCAGAAATAAAATCCCTCTAGAGAGTGTTTCATCTGAAAGGAGCTGTAAAAATTTCAAGCAAGTTTTTACAAACTATTACTTTGATGGACCAGTGAAGCCTGTGGTTAATATCCCAGAGTATTAGCTAAATCTGGGTAGGAATCTGTATGTGTCCAGCTGGATTGAGCTCATGAATATAGAAACTTACATAAACAGTAAAAGCCTTCTCTGTCCAACCAAATAGTCTGGATTGTTTCAAAGACCAAAAAGAGACATCCTGACTGATACTTTCAGAGATATCTATCACTAGCTTTGGGAATTAAGAATGTGGGAGTGTGAGTTTTAATGTGCTTTCAAAACTACTGCAAAGCTGACAATGCCATGGCAAAGCAGGTCATGAAACCCAAGGTCAGAGGGACCAAGCAGCTCCAGAATCCCGGTCTCCTGGCTGCTCCCATACATGAGCCATGCTGAGTACTAACCAGGTCACAGAGGGGGAGCTCTTTGCGCTCCCTCTCCTAAGAAGACATTGTTGTTTCTGGTGTTACTGTGCCTCTATCTTCTAGGAATTATGTTTAAACCGTCAGTTCTCCGTTTCTCCAATTTTATCACATTTCCTAGTTTGATGAGGATTTGGTTCACTTAAGCACTATTCCCAAGGGTTCCCCTTCCCTCCCCCTCCCCAACCTCCCAATATAGTTATGTCATACGGTTGGTATGTCAATATTTGGTGTTTGCATTATGATTATATAAATGCTATTTACAGCTGAGTCATGCAATGTGCTATGATTTCCTTTTCTTGGCAATTTAAAAACAATTTTCACTGGAATTACTAATTTTCAGCGTGTGTGTGCTCACATTTCTATGTTCCTACCCATTAATTAATCCCCAAACACTCCGCCTAAAGTTCAGGTCTCCTTGAAAGGCATTCAGTCACATCAGGCAACCTATCACTTAGACATCCTTCCATGGCGCCTCCACCCCTGGAGGCCCGGCGCTGCTCCACTNTCAGATCTCCTTGAAAGGCATTCAGTCACATCAGGCAACCTATCACTTAGACATCCTTCCATGGCGCCTCCACCCCTGGAGCNCTCACGTTTCTATGTTCCTACCCATTAATTAATCCCCAAACACTCCGCCTAAAGTTCAGATCTCCTTGAAAGGCATTCAGTCACATCAGGCAACCTATCACTTAGACATCCTTCCATGGCGCCTCCACCCCTGGAGCCCCGGCGCTGCTCCAGACGGCTCTCCAGATGTGCACCCGTGACCCCGGAACCCTCCCCCCACACTGGGGATTCCCAGCACCGCCTTCTGTTTGGTTTGTCCCCTCACTTTGGTGGAACACTTTCAGCAAGTAGCTTGCTGAGACAGGACCTGAGGAATGTTTTTAAGATTTCGAGTATCTGAATGTGTTACTACTTTAATTTCAGAGCGCTGGCGGTGCAGAGGGCAGGGTTTTAAGGGGAACTCAGTCTGTTTCCAGTTGCCTCAGGCGCCGCTGATCCCCAGCACATTGTACGTGAGCTGGTTTTCCCTCTCGGGGAGCCCCTAGCTCTTACCCTTTTTTAAATCCTCACCTGAAGACGTGTTCATTGAATTTTTAGAGACGAGGAGGGAGAAAGAGAGAGAAACCTCAATATGAGAGAAACATCGATCAGTTGCCTCCCACACGTCCCCTGACCAGGGCTGGGGGTGGAACCCGAAACCTAGGTATGTGCCCTCACCAGGGACCGAGCCCGTGACCCTTCAATGCACAGATGATGCTCCAACCACCTGAGCCACACCAGCCAGGGCTCTGCCACTCTTAAATCCACAGTGATGTGACTGGCATGGGTCACCTCCAGTCACTCTGCTGGGCACCCAGAGGCCCTTTCAATCTGGAGTCTTCGATCTTGCAGTCGAGAATTTTCCTTACGTTACGTCTGTGATAACTTCCTAACTTCCTCTCTTCTCTTTTCAGTATCTCTATTCAGTCAGTGCTGGGCCTCCTCAGTTCAGCCTGTAATTTTCTTGTATTTTCTCTAATTTCTCCTTTGGCTTTCTGTTCTATATCCTGAGGGATTTTCTCAACTAATCAGCTTTTCCTGCAAAGTTTTTCCGGGGCTTTTTTTTTACTTTAAAGAGCTCTTTCCTGTCCTCTGATTACTTTAAAGCAACAGAAAACCATCTCGCCACTCGGAGGAAACAATGTTTTTCCTCAGTTTTCCTCCACTCTTTGCATTATCTGTTGTCTCTCCCTTTCTCCCCTGTCCCTGGTCTAGGTCTATCTTTCAAGTTCAAGGACTGGCCCAAATGTCTGTCCCTCTCTGCTTCAGTCTCCTATGAGCTCTGGGTGCTTCAGGTTCCCAATTTAAAATGTAGGTAACTATGGCAACCCACTTCAAACTGTTGTTTCCAGTATTAGACAATTATATGCGAACAGCCTAGAACAGTACCTGAGACATGTAAGTTCTATATAAATATTAGCTGTTATTGTTTTAAAATAAGCTGAGAAGGTTATTTCTTGAGTAGCCTAACCCCTTTTCAGGCAGCTTTGCAGCATTCAGTGGGAAGGGAAGGGACAGTGAGGACCAGACGTAGGCCAGCTGTTTCCCATGTCACTCCACTTACATCTGAGCTTCAGTGCCTGGAGAAGTAGATACTACAGTGTTTCTGCTTCACAGGTAAGAACAATGAGGCTCAGAGGGAAATAACTGCAGTAGGTGCCACAGCTGGTCTGAGGTGGAGCTGGGGCTTGAACCCGGGCTTGTCTGACTCAAAGGGCAGGCTCTCCCGGCCTCTCACGTGCCTCCATCAGACAATTCCAGCTGTAATATGCCCACCAAAGGGTTCCTGTTAGGACCCAAGCAGGCTTCCACAAGCCTCTACATTCTTCCTTCCCCTAGTCGTGATAGTGAATTCAATTAAATGCCAATAAAGTCATAAAACAGCATTTCTTGATAAAGGTCCTCTACCTTACCCTGGAATTCCCCTCAAATACTCCGAACCAGGAGTATGTCAATCAGAGGCTTTAAAAGCTCAACTTCCAGGAAAGTGGGTTCAGTTAGGCCACGAGGCAGAAGCTCCGAGCAGGGAGAGGAGGTTTCAAAGGTTAAAGGGCGTCCCTGTCCCTGACAAACTCCACACAGGAACACCTGGCGAGAGGGACTGCAGGTGGCAAGACGCAGGAGGGGCTGTGAAGGAAACTAAGACTGAAGGAAAGTAGTGACTGTGTGGATACCCAACCACCCAGGGCCTGACGAATGCTGCTGCTCGGGGAAGCAGAAGACACCATACTCACAACTTCTCCAGAAGGCAGGTGTATCGTCTGCGGCGCCTGCTTGCTCAAAAATTTGTTTAATAAGCGAATGTTGGCAAATGTCCCCCGGGCCATGATGGCATCGTTACCGCGTCGCGAACCATAGGAGTTGAATTCTCGTGGAGTCAGGCTAATAAGGCAACCGGAGAAAAGCCAGATCAGTGGAGAGAGTGAAGGTGGAACTCAGCTTATACCAGAAGACAGAGAAAACATAAACCTCGGCCCTAGGCGGTCTGGCTCAGCAGTTAGAGCGTCGGCCCGTGGACTGAAGGGTCCTGGGTTCGATTCCAGCCAAAGGCACGTACCTCGGTTGCACGCTCCTTCCCCATGTGGGAGGCAACCAATCGATGTGTCTCTCTCACATCAATGTTTCTCTCTCTCTCTCTCCCTCCCTTCCATCCACTCTCTCTGAAAAGCAATGGAAAAAATATCCTCAGGTTAGGATTAAAAATAAGTAGAAAATAACATTAAAAACCAACAACAACATGAACCTCAGTGTTTCTCTAATCCACCAAGCACTGTTCTCCATGCAGAAACACTTCCCACAGCCTCCACTGAGGGCAGAGTGTGAGGCAAGACATACGTGAGGTGGATTCAATATTCTCCCACGTCTTATAAATCTGGGTAGAAAAAGCAGGAGGAACTCTAATAAGGGTATTTATTTCATTTATTTATTAAGGCAGCCTACAAAGTTTCACAAAAAATAAGGGTAAGAAAGCCCTGGTCGGGTGGCTCAGTTAGTTGGAGCATTGTCCCATGGGTTATGGGTTCGACTCCTGGTCAGGGCACATACTTAGGTTGTGGGTTCAATCTCTGGTCGGGGCACATACAGGAGGCAACCGGTTGATGTTTCTCTCTCACATCAATTTTCTCTCTCTTCCTTCTTCTCTCTCTAAAATCAATAAACATATCCTTGGGTGAGGATTTGTTAAAAAATGGGTCAGAAAGAGGAAGCAGAGATAAGAATCAGGGAAATCTAGTCAGGTGGAGCCAAGAATGGGGGGAACACAGAATAGGTTCCATGAACTAACCAGAAGGAGGTTCGGATTTATCCCGAGTTATCAGGAAGTCAATTGAAAGGGAAGACACACAACTGGCAACATGATTTATAAGTTCATGAGATAAAAATCAAAGCAGTGCCAAGGAGGCAGAACAACTATTTCTCTTGATCCTGAAATCAGAGAAAAATCTCGGTGGGCCCCAATGAAAGGGGAATGTCAGGAATAATATTTTCAATGAACACAGTGACCAACTCACTGGGCTGTTTCTTAAAATGCCAGGAAAATGTGTGTGTTACTATGATTGAAAGGTTAGGTCTATTTTGAGGATTTAGAGACTCTATAAATGGGTTTCAGGAGCAAATAAAAAATGATATCCAAAATGTTGTGGATATATGCATTTTTCTGGAAAGGTATTATATTTGCTTTCTTTCAATTCCCTAAAGAGTCCATGTCTCAAAAGTGGTCAACATTCACCAATCAAAAAACGGTGTTGGATTTGTTCCTTGAATTGGCTCTGGGCCCCATCCCTGAGGAAACTGATTTGGGAAGTAGAGATGGGAACCAGGAATTTTTATCTCCCCAAATAATCCTCATGGAAAGTAAGATTTGGGACTGACTTTGATTAATATGGCTATATTAGATAATAGCAGATAACACTGGTATAATGCCTGCTAAAATCGGTACACGATGGGACTGCTGGATGAATGCATGAACTGCCAATCCCCAAAGCAGGTCTCTGTAAGGACTGTCTCTGAACCAGGAATGACTGTGCCTGTCAGGTTATATTCCTGCTGAGCGGTTCAAGTGCAGCCAGGCTCTGCCCTGGGCTACGAGCAAACCCTTGTGCTTTAACCACTGGGTAAGCTGGGGGCAGAAATGGCAGCTGAGCCTAATGAGTACAACACTTGCTCAAAGATTGTCCCCCCTCCCCGACGGGGTTCACGTGTCGATGGATTCACCCACGGAAGCTTCGAAGAGGCAAAGAGAAAGACTGACTGGTTTTCAAGCCCCAAGGTTCAGTGAAAATCCACAGTGTGATTCCAGAGCAGAGGCGGAAGAGCAGTGCCGGCCTATCTACTCCCCGCGTGCCTTCAGTCGGTCCTCGCCTCTCACACTTACCCTCTGCTGGTTAAGTAGCGAGCAGCAGGGCTGTTCCTTGCAATGTTCCCAGCCGGAGAGATGTGGTCAGTTGTTACTGAATCTCCCAAATTTAATAGCACATAGGCATCCACAATAGATTTAGGGGGCTGCAGCTCCAAGGTCTAGCAGAGAACACGACAGGTCAGGGTTGGCCCAAGTTTTCTCCAATAAGTCATGAGGGAAGTCTTCTCAACTGCAGTGACCCCTGGACCTGAGCCAGGTGATGGCCCTAATCAGCACGTAGACAATTCTAGTTTGCTTTGTTTTGTTTTGTTTTCAGTTTTATCGGGGTACTTAGAAAAGTAAGGTCAATTTACTCCAAACATTCACATCTCACCCTTGAAGAGAAGGGGAGGTATTGGCTCTGTCCCCTCAAGGCAACAGGGAGGCAGCTGCAAATGACATTCTCTTTCTCCACAACCACAGAACTGCTCAGGTGCTGAGGACAACTGGAATTCTGGCTTTTCTCCCATCCCCTGACCACAGGGACCCACCCTGGGGAGCATGGACTCCTCGACCAGCAGTTTCTCGTCTGAGTGGGTCTCAGGGTTAAAGATGGCAGGCCCTGGGAAGTTCTCCTGGACAGTCCCTCAGATTTCACCAAGTCTCTACGTCCAGATGGCACCTGATCACCAGGTGTCTCTACAGAGCCACACAACCCCTGACAGAGGAATTGTAGGCTCACTGCAGCCAATATCCCAGCTTCCCCAAACTGTCCCCAGTAGTATTAGCTTGCTTTTGTAGTGGTTTGAATGAAACAGGTAGTAAAAGCAAGGGTGTGGGATAATAAAAGTAGATGTTATAAGGAAAGAAAACGTTTTAAGAACTCAGTTTGTTAAAAATAAAGTCATACCAGGTTTTCAAAGAAAGGCGGTGACTTAATGTATGTAGATTTGGGATTCCAGTAATACAGCGTATCTGATGGGGCAGCTAAGGCATTCCAGCTTTCATTCACAGTCTTTAAAAAAAAAAAAAGGATAGAAAAAAGGCCAATCCAATTACATTCTATTCTAAGAAAAATTTTACACAGAAACATAAAACACATATTCAAGCTATGAGTATAATAAAAACCATTCTTATTCTAGTCATGCAAAGGAGTTCCTTTATGCTAAGATAGTACCATGCTAAATAACTCAACAATACACACACACTGTGACAGGCAGCCTCCAAGGACTACCCACTCCCCCCATTCACATCCTAAAGGGCTGAACCTAGTGACTCATTTCCAGGATTAGGTTACAGAAAGACTCTGCCATCTATGTCTCTCACCCTCTCTTGCTTTCTCGATTGCTCGCCCCGATTAAGCCAGCTGCCATGCTGTGAGCTATGCAGAGACCCACTAGCAAAGGCTCTGGCTAATGGTCATGGAGAAACTAAGTCCCCTGGTCCAGCAGCTGGTGAGGCACTTGACCCAGCCAACACCACGAGAGTGCCCTTAGAAGTGCATCTTCCCCAGCTGAGCCTTCAGAGGAGCTACAGCCCCAGATGACACCCTGGAGCCTTGTGAAGGCAGAGCCACCCAGTTAGGCCCCCTCTGGATCCACAGATCTGTGAGATAATAAATGCTTGCTGTTTTAACCTACTATGTTTTGGTGCAATTTGTTGTACAGCAATAGGTTATTAATCCCTATACTTATGAATATAACTTAAGAAATAATTCAGATTTGTACCAAAGGGGAAATTATTTACTCTCTGAAGATTTTGGAAAGTAGACTTCCAGGTGACATGGTCATTGGATAGCAAATAACAGCTGCTTTGCAGAAAAATTAGCTTGAATTCTCTCCATAGGCCCATTAACTCAGCCTCTGAATACATGTATTTAATCCAGTGCCCACGAAACTCCCTCAGACCACTTCCCAACAAGCCACTGCTGGGAGGGCACAGCATGGATATAATCCCCTTTGACCCCTCTCCCTGCACAGTTTGCTCTCTTGTTTCAACCCCAAGCCTGTCAGCAGTCCCTGGGTCAGCCTAACACAGAAAACAGGGAAAGAAATAACATCCAAAGGTCTCAAAAAATACTAAGCCTGGCCGGTGTGGCTCAGGGGTTGAGTGTCAACCCATGAACCAGGAGATCACAGTTCAACTCCCGGTCAGGGGACATCCCTGGGTTTCGGGCCTGATCCCCAGTGGGGGGCGTGCAGGAGGCAGCCGATCAATGACTCTCATCATTGATGTTTCCCTCTCTCTCTCCCTCTCCCTTCCTCTCTTTGAAATCAATAAAAAATAATAATACTAAGCCCCATACATTTTATCCCTATTTGTAAAATGCACAGAACGTTTCATTTATTTAAGCAGTTTGGTGCTTTCTACTGAGTGGCTTTTACTAATTTGTTTGCTTGTTTGATTATTTATTTTTCAGCATCCAAATAATTGTGAGTGGTTCGCTCCACAACACCCCTGGTGTCTGAGAAAGGAGAGTTATGGAGAGCTGGCCAGGAATCACACACAGCCTGAGGCCTCTCTTCTTGTCCACTTGTCTAAATTGGGGACCATCTGGGGAGTGTGGGTTTGTAAAAATGTGAGTCACAGGAGAAAGTGACGGAGAGCCACTCCCCTAGTTCTCTGAGGAGGGAGTAACAAACCAGTTCCCCTCTGGAGCTCACACCCCTGGCGGCCTCCAGGTCTGCAGGGGTGACACAGAGGCTCTCGGGGGC